ATCTGATAGATATGCTAATTTGGATTTTTTTTTTTTTAATTTTATTATCAAATTACAACTTGTATTCGTTTGAATGAAATTGTGCTTTTGATATACATCTCTCTTTTTTTTATAGATTAGTTCTTTTTTATTGTGACTACTTTTTCGGTAAAACGCTTTCAATTGAAATTGCGAAAAGAATATGAAAGGTTTACTTAGAACCTTTTAATACGGAATGACTGGGACCTAACTGTGACTATGCCTTTCGTAATTATGTTCCAATATGTATCATGGACTCATGAAGAATAATTCTCCGTTTCTTAGGTTTAATGGAAGTCGGATGTTATAAAAAAAAATTAAAATGAAAGGTTTACAAGTAGCCCATCTCGGTTCATTAGTTTTTAATAAATCACAAATAAGATCCAACTCATTAAAAAACAAATTGTCAACGATATAAGTTCCATTCCATATCAATTTAAATTTTCTAGAGGACTATTAAAAAAAATTATTATAATTGAAATTTATGTATTTGTTTTCAAAAAAGCATATATATACTTTTGACATATTCACAAATCAACAAAACTACGGAAGCAAAAAGAACATGTCGTCACATTTCAAACATTTATAATGGAGTAATGGACAAAAATTTAAATGACCCCAATCAAGTAACACCTCAAGACTCAAGTCTTAGTAGTCGTTTTCAGTTTTAGGGATCTCACACATGGGGGTGGTATAATAAAATGGTCCGACCACATACTTAACCAAATCCTGGAAAACCGTGAACGGTCGAACTAGCTTCACTCCGGTTTGGCCATCACCAAAATTGGTCGGAATATTACATGACTGGTCCGGCGAAGACACGAGCCGAACATTACAAAGTTGAGGCTTGAGAACCTTGCCGTCGTAAAGGACTTTTTTGACAATTAGATCGAACTGGCCTCTCTCATCGGTCTTGTCGCTGCCATAGTATCCCACTCTTCTCCTCTCGTCCATACAAGTGATTGATACAACAGCCCCTGAAAGACACAAAGTGGAATGATTTTGTTTAATTAAATCCGGTTTTGAGCATTTTTTTTTTACCGGGTTATGGCTGGTTGACCAAAATCCTTTTATCAAATTAGAAAGCAAAGCGGTAAGAATTTGATAGCGGTAAAAACAAGTAACTGCAAAAGATGATAGTACATTTAGAAACGATACAAAATAATGGTAAAAGATTGCAACACGGTAAAAGATTGGCGGGGTAAGCTGTAATAAAATATATATAAAAAGCATACAATTCTGAATACGTAAAAATCAAATTTATTTTTCGACCAAAAAAAATTCAAATTTATTTGAACCGATTATAATACCTTTGATGGGTTCAGAACCGTTGATCCATTGCTCGTAGCTAAGAGAGCAGTCTTGGCACAATACTTTTCCGGCGACGTGAATCACATCTCCGTCATAATCCGCTGCTGTCGTGGCGATATGACTCACACAACTCACCAGAAATAATATTTCGATGAGCAGAACCAATGTACTCTGCGCCATGACGACCTCTCTCGGGTTTTTTGTTTGCGTTCGATGTTTTTGAGTTTATGCTTATTTGATATGTAAGAAAGACTTGGTATATATATAATATAAATTGAGACTTTTGGTTAATAAGGATATAATGTTACATGTGTGGAAGGGCACTACCTCTAGACGTGCGGTCCATTAAGTATTATGGTCAGTATCATCTTTTGATTATATATATAGTTTTTTTGTCAATCATTATGCTATATATTAAATTAAACCGTAAAACTTTTTTTTTGTATAAGGTATATAATCCCACAAATAATGTCACTTAAATCGCATTTCATTAATCCTCAGTATATTGAAGGAGAAGTTAATAAGAGAAAATAAGTCTTCGATTCTAAATAATTGAGATGAAGCCTCTAAATCCAAATAAATATATAAAAAAATTAGGCCAAAATTTCACAACTAAAACAAGTATTTAAGTTTTATTTATTTGTATAAATTTAAATAGTTTTTTTTACTCGTGATGAGAGCTTAATACTATACATACACACCACCACCACCACTTTAGTTGACCAAATCTTCGTTGTTTTCTTAATCAACGTTTATTTTTAAAATCTCTTTTGGTCACTATAAAGCCAAAAAGACAAAGGTCTCTCCACAAACTTATCCCCACCACATATATACTTCTTCTTCCTCCTCATTTCTCTCCTTTGTCCTTTAACATTACCAAA